TCACCAGCAGCTGAAGGAATAATAGGCGGGAGTATATTTATGCCACGAAATACTGTATGGCAATGAGAATGAATGAATTGTTGCCAGAAAAACTCCTGGGCAAATCCATGAATAGGAGCTTGAGGGAAAGAAACCAGAGTCAAAGAATGCATACGATGGGATTCCATTTACAATAAAGTCGAAAAACAAGCAAAATTAATCTATGGTGTTAGAAGTTAGGATAATGGTTACCTTTGGCGGTAGTGACTGAAAGAGAACGTGAGGGGGGCTTCTAGAGTTGTGGTGATGTTCTTTTTTTTTAATGCTTATTTTTGAGAAAGAGAGAGAGAAAGCAGGGGTAGAGAGAGGGGGAGACACAGAATCTGAAGCAGGCTCCAGGCTCCGAGCTGTCAGCACAGAACCCAACACAGGGCTCAAACCCATGAACGGCAAGATCATGACCTGAGCCGAAGTCAGATGCTTAGCCGACTGAGCCACCCAGGCACCTCTCGGATGATGTTCTGATTCATCACCGGTGCTAGTCATGTGGGGATTTTCTGTACGTATGTTATACTTCAAACTAAACTGTTAAAAACAGGAGGAAGGACAGACTCTCAAAACAAAGGATGGGTCTTTAAAAAATGCATTTTGCTTTATAAAACGTTTTTTATGAAAAACTTTCCAAAACCAGTGTAAATTGCATTGTGGCAAGGTGCTGGGGCTGTGACAATGTCCGCGGGAGAAGAAAACCAGGGTGACATGGCCAGCCGCAAGTGGAACTGTGGGGAACAGTCCAGCCCTCCGAGGAAGGTGCTTCTCAATGGCTCTTTGCTGCCAACCGGATTGTGTGCACGTGACATGCATATCTAGGAGGGTCTTTCCCAGCCTTTTGAAGGCCATGCACATGTAGAAAATGGCAACACTGGAATGGTATTCTGGGGTATCAGATGGGGCTCCTGGCAGCCAAGATCGGCTGGCTAGGTTGTCCAGGTGCCCCAACGATGAGGGGTTTCACCACCTCAGCACACCTGTGGGAAGATACACACTTAGAGAGTGTGGGAAGACATGAGCCTCTATAACACATTTTTAGTTCTCTTGCTCTTCTCTGGGAAAATCCAGCTCTACATCCCCCTCACCTCTGCATTTACGGGTCCCATCTGCAGTAGTGAAGATCAGGGGGTTCAGGGGGGGTCAGGGGTTTATGTGGCATTCTGGATCTCTCCTCTATGTCGTGGCCTCCTCTCCCCTTCCAGCCTCATTTTCCACCACACTCTCGCCCCCTCCCCACACACCCCCCCCATCCCCTAAGCAAATTACATCCTGGGCACACTGCACTTGTCTGTCATCTAGAAACATCTCCGAAGACCCCAAAACGCCCAAGTCTTTCTTTTTCTCCATCATCTCTCTGCTCAGACCTTCTCTCCTCTATGATGCCACACTTTGAATAGTGTTACTGGTGTGTGTGTGTGTGTGTGTGTGTGTGTGTGTGTGAACATCTTCATGGGCCCTGATTTCCTATCTTGCCCATAGTAGGTGCTCAACAATTGTTTCTCGAATGACTTTTAGGCTGCAGAGGGACCCTGATCATAACCCCACCCTACCTCTATTCTTGAGGGTCACTCATTGTCCCTTTGAGTCAGAGTCCCCAACCTCCCAGGGCACCTGTCTTGTGGTCCCTCCACATCCAACCAGAGGCTTGGAGCCCTGCAGCCTGGATGAGGTACAGCCTTATTACTCAGACCCCTCCCTGCTCACACCTCTGGGGTTGGTGTTATGCTAATTGTGCTGTGACAAAGGGAAGGGGTGACTGCCACTCAGCCTCAGCCCTGGCTCCTCTCTTTCAAGCAGCAGCCTGCATTACCAGGGTGTGGCCACAAGGGGCTCTACCGGGCGATTCTTGGGCGCAGTGGAGGAGGGTTCTGTGGCAATACCTCCTGTCCGCATGGACAAGGAACCGCTCAGGCAGTCTCTCCTCTCCTCTCCAGTTTCCTTTGGCTGCCTTATCCTGACGTTTTACCCCTTAGCCACCTAGCAGCTGTTTTATATCTTAACACGCTCCTCCTTGCTGTCCACAGAGCGAGGGCCTTCCACTTAAGTCAGTTCCACCTCCCTTAGCGGAGCCTACACCATGAGCTCCCTGCCTTTCAGGACATGGGGTGGAAGATGGTCCTGTTCCATCTTTTCAACATCTCCTGACTCTGCCTCCCTTCTGTTCCCCCCGCTGCCACCCAGGGTCAGGGTTGCCCTCTGTGGCCAGGATTAATGCGATGGCTTCCTGGAGGATCCTGTCTCCAGACAGCCCCCTGTCCATCAGCTATCCACCTTGGAGCCAGAAAGAACTTACTCTGCTCAGGTGCTAGCCTTCAATGGGTCCCCAAGTCCCGGACATTCACACAGCGCCTCAGGTTGCCTGAAGATCCAGCTGCCTGATTCTCCAGCCTCATGTCCCTCTTCTCCCCTTGTGCTCCAACGAGCAATACTGAAATACCTGCAGTTGCCCAACACATCGTGATATTTCAAGCCTTTGTACTTTGCACACATCCCTTTCTGTGACCTGCACCTCCTCCGCCTTTGCCCTTGCTCCCCAGACGTCCCCACCTGGCAGAGACCTATTCATTCTTAAAACCGCAAATTCCTCTGTGAACCCTTCCCTGACCCAAGACTCCTTCCCCTGCCCCAGAACGCCTCGTCTGAATGGATCCTGTTCCCCGAACATCCGTCTCTCATTGTATCTGTCACTCAGAGTTGTGATAATTACTCAAGCCTGCTCTGTTTCCTCCACTGTCTCTGTACCTCCCTGTGGGACGCGGAGCTGGCACTCAGTAGGTGATACATGAAAGGAGTTGCATCATCCCCTCCCTGCACCCTCACCTGCACCTTGAGCAAGTCTTTCAAATGCTCTGAACTCCCATTTGCTTACCTGCACAGTGGAGACATGTGAGAAGCAGAAGGAGGCACGTACATTAAAGAACCTAAGTGTTACTAAACAACTAAGTTCTATGCAGAAGTCCTTATTGCATTTTCTTCTTCCAGACTAGTGTTTACCTGCACTTGCCTGGGTGCAGTCATAGGATCAGAAGAATGTGATGTGACCTTTTTGTAATTTCCCCGCCTTGAATCCAGGGAAAAGCTGGTTAAGAGTAAACCATTAATTCTGTCCCCCTCCAGCTCTCAGTCTTCTCTGAGGCTCTGGGTTAATGATTCTAGGTTGTTTTCCTCACAGGGCATGTTCTATTCTTTATGAATAACTTGACTCACTCCAATAATTCTCCATCCTGGGGTTGCGAACTTTGTTTTGCTGGAGGCAACGGTGGATGTGTGTAGGTCTCTGGCTGTCTTCCTTCCTCACCAGTGCCCCAGGCCCTACCCCATGGCCACCATTCCCTTTACCAACAAGAAGAGATCCCAGCATCCATGTTGCTTGGACCTAACAACTAATCTCCCTCACAGAGAGATTTAAGGATTTGTTTTCTGAAGCCCAGAAGGAGAGATCTGGTAAGGAGAAACCCTCTTAAGCTTTTGAAAACCGAGTTCAGAATGGTTTCTCCATACCAGCGATTAATTAGTGGCTGCCAGAGGAATGGGTCGTAGGGAGAGGCAGCCCCAGCAGGGATTGGTCCCTGGAATCCCAGGCAGAGGGTCTGTTCATGGGTGCAGTGCAGGTCACGCAGAGGCTGGGGATAGAAGCCTGGGAGCCAGATGCAGCCCAAGGGTGGTCTGGACACTGTTGAGATAAGACCAGCTGAGGACTGTGAGGTCATTGAAATTCAAAAACCTGCTCACAGTGCCTCACTACCAGGAGTCTCCCTAGATCTCATCCTTCCCTCCCCGTAATCCAGTCCATTTGGTGCAGAGTGTTTTAGAACGTAGTGTCAAGAATGCTTTGCATAATGAAGCGGGCTGGTGGTTCACTGTTCTACAAAGGTTCCAACTTTTCTGAGCTGAAGTGCTCCTATCTGTAAAATACATATATTATTCTTTTTTAACAGTGATATTCCTCTTTAATAACCAACCAGGGATTAAATTATCTCTTCAAACTAGGTTCTTGTAATAAGGTCATAACACTATAGTGCATACGTAAGAGTGAAAACATAAGGGATAAGGCGTTTAGGGATTTCCAAGGCAACAACTTCACTATTGCCATGGTGATTCTAGGACCATTCTGGCACCCATGCACCCACCACCTTGCTTAGGAGGTAGAACATTTCCAACACCACTGAAAGCCCTGCATTCACCTCGGGATCCTCTCTTGGCCTTCCACCCTGGGGGAAACCACTGTCCTGAATTTTGTGTTTGTATCTACCGTTTCAAACATTTACTTCTGATCGTAGTTTTTGATCTTGTTTTTGAACTGTTCTGTAAGTAGAATAGGCTATAGTCAGAGAATGGGTTTTTTCCTCTGCCAATGGGTGTAGCCAATGCATGTAGCTGCCCTTCATTTTCACGGCTGTATGTATATCTCTACACATTTCCTACTGTATTCTCAATTGTATTGGTGGGAATTTGGGCTGCTTACAGAGTTTTATTATTTTGCTATAAACATAGTGTCTTAGAACCAATTCCTTCCCTGGAATTGGAATAGACCCTGGAGACACACATGTTCTAAGGAAGAATTTGCGAAGTCCAAGCGAGAATCCTCCTTGAAGCCAACGAATGCTGCTGTACCCTCTTCCCTACACGACTGGCCTGAGTGTATGGCAGTCCTGTTCTTGCTGAGTCTATGGGCCCACAGAGGGAATTTCTAGAGAAATGGTGGAAGAAGAGCTTTCCAGGCCATAGTTTGATTTTAGCTGTGACCCTCAGGAGCAAGCCAGACAGGCCTTGAGGGAAGGTGAAGCCCTCCTTTGACTCTGAGCAGGAGTGTGAGGTGGGGGCTGCCCTTGACCAACCTTGGGTCTCAGGGTCTCAGGGTCTCAGGGTCTCAGGGTCTCAGGGCGGCAGCCCTGCTGACCTCACAAAATCCACCGTGAGGTCACTACTGGGCTGCAGGACCTAGAAATTCAAACAGAACACAACCGTTCTCAGATTATATGGTTTTTTATTTAAACGGCTATGAGGAAAGCCCTACTAATGGGCGTCGAAGGTCACTGTCTCCATAATGTCAGACGTCCCGCTCCCTGCGCTCTGCAGGCCCTGGCGGTTCTCCGTGCCGCTCCGGTCCACTGTCTTACTCAGCATGTCCACGTCTCTGCCGCATGGGGAGGCCGTGGTCCTGGTAAGGTTGGCTTTGACGTTCCTTAGGAACAAGCCGATCCTGCCCAGCCTCTTGGTGGCCGACCCCGAGCCGCCGGTGGAGAAGCCCCGCCCGGATTTGTGGGAGGCCCTGGACTCCTTGGGGATGGGCGAGTGGCTGATGCCTTTGCGGGGGGCGCGCTTGCCGCCCCCGGGGCTGCCGCGGGCCTTGTCCTTGTCCTCCCTCGCGGCTCTGTGGCCGGCTAAGGACCGGATGGAGGATTTCCGGTTGGTCTTGTCTTCCCCGGCCACGTGACCGGCATCAGCTGCCCTGCGGCGACGGGAGCCCGCCGGGAAGCTTCGCTCCTTGGGCCTGCGCTCCCCGCGCTCTCCGCGCTCCCCGCGCTCCCGCCCGCGCCTGCGCGGCTGCCTTCCCGCCTGCTCAGCCGCACCTTCGCTCTGCGAGTCCGAGAGCAGCGCGCCCTCCACGTTTCCTGCCACAGTCTTGCGGGAGCCCTCTGTCCCTGTGAACGTCGCGGTCCTGCCGCCCCCCCTGGGGAGGCTGGTGGACGAGTCGGAAGTAAACCTGGGGGTCTTCGCGGCCCCTGCCAAGGCCATGTTCCTGCTCTGAGGGGACAGGCTGGCGGTGCCCGCAATGGCTAGGTTGGCTCTGCTTCCTCCGGGCCCCATGGAGGCTGCACCTGCCCCGGCCATGCCTAGCTGATCAGGCGCGGCTGACCTGGTGATGGCCACGCTCAAAGCGCCTGCCGCGGTGCCAGCTGCGATGCCTGCTGCGAAGCCCGCGGCGGTCCCTCCCGTCGCCACGGCCGCCGCCGCCGCCGCCGCCAGCTCCCTGTTGAGCCCTGCAGGTTTGGGGTTGGCGGAGGCTACACCGGGTTTACGGGAGAACTGACGGGTCCCCTCCCCTCCTGCAAAAGCTGCAGAGTTGGCCTCGGACACCTCGGAGACCGCGTGGAGGCTCCTGATGCTGACCTGGTCCTGATCCCCCCTTGCTTGGAAATCTGCTCCTACCGGGCTCCTCCTGTCGTCTCCCTCAAACACAGGCATGCCGAGTATGTCCTCCGCCGGGATGGCGTAGGTACTGCTGTTGCTGTCCACGGGTGGCCGCAGGAGGTAAATGAGCTTTTCCCAGTAGGCGAAGAGGTCTTCGCGCGCATCCAGAGGGGGACACAGCTGCAGGTAGCACGAGCGGCCGGTGGCGAACTTCAGGCGCAGCTGTTGTTTCTCGCGGTTGTGAACCGAGATCCTCACAAACTTCAAGGGAAGGAGCCTGGTGAGCTCTAAGGTCTTCGGAGCCTTGCGGCCTTTCCCCTTGGTGGCCTGGCCGCGCCCGCCGGGCTCGTCGTGGCCGGCGGCCGGTCGGGCCAGCAGCATGACGTCGGGGAGCGGGAGCATGGGGCTGGTGGACGCGATGCCCACAGTCACCATCCTGACCCGGTTGTGCACATCGATTACTTCTCCCCTTTTGGTGATCTGGATAAAGTCACTCTCAAATATAGGCGCGTACTTGAAGATGTCATACTCGCCCTTGTACAGCTGTCGCTGTAGCTTCCCCATGGCGGTGTTGAACATGCCCACTCCGGCGCCGCTGTGGGCTGTGTAGTATGGTGGCAGAGCCTCGGGGCTCATGTCCGGGGGCAGTGCGGGCAAGGCCGGTGCCTGGGTCTTCCTGGGTACAGCAGCGGATGGCTGTATGTGTCACACGGATGGCTCTATGGCAGGTGTCTCAAACCCCCAGGCCCAGGGGGCCACCACCCTTTGCCTCAGAGCCTCCCAGAGACAGGAGTGAGGGTGGGAGCTCAGAGGATGACAGAGCGGGTGCTGTAGGGCTGCCTGGACCCCAGACTGAAACTCTGCAAGGGGATAGAGATGTACGCCGGACTCCTTCCTCCTCCACCTCACTTCTGCACCTGAAATTTTATCTTCCTGACGGACTGCGAGCTGCAGTGTTGGTGAGAGACCTGACTACTTTCTCAGCCTAAGCCCCTGCGCAGCCATATTTATCCTCTGCTGCCCTTTGTGACCTGTCACTGTCACATACCCCATTGTTCTCATCCCCCAGACCTCCCCCTCAGGGCAGGGCCGCCTCCTCCTCCCCAAACACCCCCACTGCCCCCACAGAGGACAGGCCCACCCTGCCAGGGACTTAGGTAGGTATCAAAATAAAAATGTCTTCAAATGGGAACATTTTGTGTGGGGACTTTTTTTTTTTTTTCTCTTCCCCCAAATGCAAAAGATTCCGCAACTGGACAAAATCTATAGGAATAGAAGGTGATAGGATGCACTGGAGTCATTTGAGCTCACGGTTTCATTTTATCCAATAACCTCCAACTGGCAGTCTTGGCCCTTAGTCTGCTCTTTCATAAAATCTCAGTAAACCACTAATAATAACATTAAAAACTGTGTCCCCAAGGTGCCCTGCTACGTTCTTCACGTATGACTGTTAAGAATCCATTGAGTTTGATGGGGCGCCTGGGTGGCTTAGTCGGTTAAGCGTCCAACTTTCGCTTGGGTCATGATCTCGCGATTCGTGGGTTTGAGCCCCGCGTTGGGCTCTGTGCTGACAGCTCAGAGCCTGGAGCCTGTTTCAGAGTCTGTGACTCCCTCTCTCTCTGACCCTCCCCTGCTCATGCTGTCTCTCTCTCTCTCTCCTAGAAATAAATAAAACATTTTTAAAAAATTAAAAAAAAAAAGAATCCATTGAGTTTGGTACTGTTGCTAGCGTCCCGTTTCACAGGTGAAGAAACTGAGGTATCATTTGGCTACTTCACAGAACTAATGGTGGTAGAGGTAGTATTTGAATGCAGATCTAGCTGATTCTGAAGCCTTTGATCTGAACCGCTCCAGTACTTCGCCTTCACAAAGAAGGCTCGCACCAGCCACACATTTGTTCAAACCAGACTGACTTAATTACCTTTAAAAAGATCTGTTTGATGCACTGGTGGAAGTTGTGTAATTCCACAGGTGTATATATGTTATGGAGAGAACCCAAGACAACTACTTCAGGCAGTGGCTGGGCTGAATCGAGATTAAATTATTCAGGCGGCCATCTTAGTTCCTTCCCTCCATTATGTTTCTGCAAACAGCCTGTGTGTGGAAACCTAGTTATTTTCTCTGAAGACCCCTGGCTTTCTTCCCTTCTTCACCAGTGAAATGAAGGGGGCGGGGGCCCGAGATGTAATCTTCAATTCTAAGAGCCTGCCGAACACACTCCTGTAGCGACCTCCCTACCACGCACAAGTAGTTTGAAAGCAGTGACACCCATGGGGATGTGTACCACCATACTTCTTGCCTTATTGCCATCCCCACAGAGCTAGCCACAGAATGTGTAATTTCTTTTTTTTTTAAGTTTATGTATTTATTTATTTTGAGACAGAGACAGTGTGAGTGAGGGTGGGGCACAGAGAGAGAGAGAGAGAGAGAATCCCAAGCAGGCTATGCACCACCAGCCCAGAGCCCGATGTGAGGCCCAAACCTATGAAACTGTGAGATCATGACCTGAGCCAAAACCAAGAGCAGGATGCTTAACCGACTGAGCCACCCAGGTGCCCCAGAATGTGTCATTTCTAAAGACTTTTTAAAAATCCATTTATTTGAGAGAGATAGTGTGAGAGGGGGAGGGGTAGAGAGAAAGGGAGACAGAGAATCCCAAGTTGGCTCTGCATTGTCAAAGTGGTACCTGATGTGGGGCTTGAACCCATGAAACCACGAGATCATGACCTGAGCCGATACCAATAGTCAGATACTTAACGGACTGAGCCACCCAGGCACCTCCATAATTTCTAAATTATTACTTGAAAGTTCTGAGAAAGAAACCTACTCCCAACTCTCATCCTCCAGTTTGATGAAATCCTTCCTGAAATCCTACCTTAGAGATTCGGTCCTTGAAAATAAATTCTACATTAGAGATTTCCATTAAAATACACACACCTGTTCACTAGGTGAATAGACAAACAAAATGTGGTCTATCCATACAGTGGAATGTTACTCAGCCATAAAATGGAATGCAATGCTGATCGTGCTACAAGGGGGAATGAATCCTGAAAACTTTATGCTAAGTGAAAGAAGCCAGACACAAAAGGCCACATGCTGTGTGAATCCATTTATATGAAATATCCAGAAGAGGCGAATCCATAAAGATGGAGATTAGATTAGCAGTTGTCTGGGGCTGGAGGGAGGGAGAATGGGGAGTGACTGCTTAATAGGCCCAGGATTTACTTTGTTGGGGATGTAAATTCTGAAACTAGATGGTAGTGATGGTTACCCAGTATCGTGAATGTACTGAGTTAGATGCTCTAAATGGGTACAATGGTAGATTTTATGTTGTGTATATTCTCTCTCTCTCTCTCCATCCCTCTTTCTCTCTCTCTCTCTCTCTCTCACACACACACACACACATACACTGAGCTACTCAGCTTTCCATTTCATCTGTAAAACGGGGACAACAGTCACTGAGGATTAAATGAGATACAGCATGTAAAGTGTTGCACATATTATCTAACTCAATACATGGTAGCTCTTGTTGGCATTCATCTTCAACTGGCCCTTTAAGCCTGGGGGGAATTCCTTCAAGAGAGCAGTGTTTGAGAAGACAAATAGAGAAGCTTCTGGAGTTCGAGCCACTATGAGAACACAGAAGGATGCTCTATGGGCAAAATTGACCTCTGAGGTTTTACCTCAGGCGGATCCATGAAAACACTGTCCACTCCATGCAGATACTAAACACAGCCAGAGAGTATGGGATGGGAAGAGAGAAAAGGCTTGATAGAGGTTTGGGTTTCAAGGGTTTATTCAAAGCCCATGGGGAGAAATTAGGATAAAGATGGAAAACAGCATTTTAGCTCTTGGCATAAAGTGAAAGTTTTAATTCCAGAATCCCCCTGGGCCAGAACCCTTAAAACTCTTTATTCTGAAAGAGGTGTCAGGCCAGATCTCCAGGAAAGGCAAGGGGACAAAGATGAGGTCAGAAGGGAGGCTGGGTCCTCCAGGCCCTGCCAATGTGACATCACCACCGCAGCAGGGGGCAGCCCCTTGGAAAGGCACCTTCGCTCAGGTGTCTGACTCTGGCAGACGTCCCATCTAAGTTTATTTTCTCAGACTCTCCCAACCTTCCCTCCCAGTCAAATGTGAAACAAGAGGAACTAAACAACTTGATGGTAAATACATATTCATCTTTTTTTTTTTATTAAAGTATCAAAACATAAACTTGGCTGCAGAAAACAAAACTGTTTTAACACATTTGGTAAAGAGCTCTCAGTTCCTGTAACCATATAACCATATCCAGTAACTGTATTTTTCAGATCAATTTTTCTGGCCATAGCCACCACCCACTTCCTTCCTCTCCAATCCATTGTTGTCCGTGGCAGCTTTAAAACTGTCTTGAGTTTCCTAACAGCTGATTGGTGGCACCTTTATCTACAACCAGAGGATAAATGCAAAGAATTACCACCCCCTTCCCCTTATCTTAAAGAAAATAGATGATCTCCTAAAAGAAGTGGTGAATGGTACTTCAAGCAGAGGGCTCCTTATAGACTGGGAACTATCCCTGATGTGCAAAAAGGCAGCAAAATCAGGACACCTGTGTCACAGGTGAGAGTTTAAAGGAACCATACATGAGTTCAAAGGCTCCCCATTCATGTGCATGAATCTTAACATTTAAGGAGGCTCATATCTCTCTGAAGAATGACATTAGTAGCAGAGTAGCCAGTTTTGATTTCTAGCCTGTGAGGGATACCAATGTGCACAGGCAAAGAGCAAGGGAACATGGTTCCAGACCTAAGGAATCATATGCCCTGCAAATTCCAGAAAGTTAGATGGAATACCTTTCCTTGAAGTATCACACCTGTGCCATCAAAAACTATTCTCTCCCTCTCTTCCTCCCTCCATTCTTTCCTTGTATTTGAAATACATATTTGCAACAATAATACATATTTGGACACAATAGCTGTAATCAAGTAAATACTTTAAGAGGTGTTCTGTGGCAGAATGTACAGTGTCCAGGGCTCAAGCTGGAAAACAGGTGTATGTTTTTGGCATCTGTACATTCAGAGAAACATAGTAGAGGTACTTAGCAATTCAGGTTGTATATCATCACATCAGACAGTTGGTCTAAAGGATATACCTGGTTGGCACTGTGTTCTAGGGTTTGCTAATGAGAAATTGAGTGTCACATGCTACGGACTGAGAAGCAGGATTGAAAGTCAACTGTCCCACCTAGTGGCATGCCAAAGAGCAAAGGATGACACTCGGAGAATTTTTAAGCTCAATGCCCTTCACCCTCAATGGAGAGAGAGGGTGCCAGGAATGAGTAGATCTTGACAACCAACCCATTTAAAAAAAAAAAAAAAAAAAACAGAAACCAGCACAACACTTAAGTTTACCACTTCTTGGTTCCAATATTTATTATATCGACAGGTTTAGGAATACTAGGATAAATAAGTAATATTTTCTCTTACAGAAAAATTGTAATGATACTGCTGAGTAGGATTAAACACTCTGAGGATTTCACAGAAACATCAGAATTTAAACAGACAGTAGCCAGAGTCCTGTGGCCAGTGTGAATGACGTCTCACAGTTCTAAACGCTCTGGGCCAGATTTCTACCAACACTTGCATGACAAACAATGCCAGTAAC